AGACCTTATGACGGGTTTTTTAAAAAAAAATAGTGGATATCAAAATTGCATGACAATGTCAATTTGAAAGAGATTCCGGCAAAAAAAATCCTATATTTTATAAAAAGAAGGTGTTTTTCATGAATGTAAGTTGTCTATGCTCTAACCTGTGTGTGACGTCACAACGGGTAACGCCCATGCATTGAAAACCATGGATCTATGCCACAGGACTGCCTTTTCTCTCTTCTCTCCACTGATGTCCATCACAATACTGCCCTCTACAGGTGACAATTGCTCACTACACATAAATTGCCGTTTTGAGAAAAAGTGTCCGAGGTGGGATTTGAACCCAAGTATCTGGATTGGCAGTCCATCGACACAACCACTGGACTATCTCAGTGACAACAAATGTTACAATCTAGTATTTATGGCGCTGTACACGGCCTTGTCATCTTGAATATCCGCGAAAAAAGAACGAATACCAAATTGTAAACAACTTACAGCGTTGAAACGTACCCACTCTGACGTCACCAAGGGCTGTGAAGTTTTTTCGTTTCTAAGGGCGTTGCTATGGGGTTATTTCGATTTGGGGGGATCAGACAAAAAAAACAACAACTGATTTTGAAACCTTTAGTAGTTCTCTTCTAATATAAAATGGTATTAAAACTGTATTTATAAATAAATCAAACCCGTCATAAGGTCTTTAAACAGGAGACACTATGCGGGACCTCCGCATCATAAAAGGACACTTCTCCTTTCCAATAGAAATTTGTGAGTTCAAGATTTTGGGCTCCCAGTTTATGAACCAAATCATCATAAATGGGGTCAGGTCCCGGTGCATCCTTGTATCTGAGTGTCAAGTGTAATTTGTCAGCGCTCTTTACTCGAGCGGTCTTGGGGATATACTTTTGAGCTATGGCGACCACTGTGTCCCCCACCGAACACGGAGGCTGATTATTTAAATCAAGGCTCCACCAGTAATGTATGTCTCCGGTGTTTTGTACCACATAAAGTCCTGGTCCGGTGAGTTTTCCTTTGGTTACAATCAGTGTGTTATCTGGTCCGGTCCCCACAATTAGTCCCAAATTTGAAATTAAATCTCGTCCTAATAAATTGTGTGGACAATGTGGGGCTAACACCACGGGAAGCTCCACTTCCGAGTCTGGGTCGTCAGGGATCTCTATCTTACATGGCTTGCTCATCTTACACTCAACAGGTTTTCCACTTGCACCCATTACTCTAATGGTTTGTCGGGACACTGATATGTGTTTTATGTCTCTTAGTACCGTCATTTGTGCCCCTGAGTCCACAAGGAACAAAATAGGTGTCCCTTCAATCAATAATGTTATTTCAGGTCTCACTGCCCAGTCCTGGGGTGTGGAGGACAGATATAATTCCAATTCTTCTTCCTCCATTAGATGATCATTATCCCAATTTAGATTTGACTCTGAGGAATCACTGGACAATTCATCCCTTGTGGTTTCCACAGAGTCCCCCAATACCGGGAGTCATGCTTCACTGTCACTACTCTCCGCTGCTCTCTCTTCTCGCTTCTTTCCTTTAGACTTGTCTGGTTTCCCTCTCTTCTTAGGGCATTCAGCCATAAGATGTCCTGCCTTCCTGCATATAAAACACAGGCCTTTCTCCCAACATTCTTGCTTATCCTCGTCTTGTCCTAACTTTCTGTAATCTCTTTTTCCTTGGTATCCACCCTTTCCCTTTCCGCTCCTCCTGGGTTTGTCCACTACAAATGTAAGAGTCTCTTGTTCCCCTGTATACATAATGGAGGTAGCTTTGCTGCGCTTTTTCTCCTTCTGCACTGTCTCTGCGTGTTTGGCATGGGCAAAGATGTCATCAAAACCCTTAGACTCATATCCCACACAATGCTTCACAATATGGTTGCGCTCCTCTACCCTGATGCCGTTTAAGAATACGGTCTTCAATTGCTGTTGATAAGCGCCTCGGGGCTCATCAGACGGCTGGAGTCCAGAATGCTGATCAAATAATGTTTTGAGTCTGGACTCATAATTCTCCATGGACTCATGTTCGCCCTGTTTACATTTGCTTATTATTGACCAATCTGCTCGTGCCGGCCACATGTTTCGCATTCTTGCAAAAACTCCACCTGGGTCTGGTCCTGCGGCTGGCCTACTAAGCTCTTGTATCACCTCCTGGAAGTTTCTTACTGCTGGTGCTCCCTGGGCTGGAGCTGTCATGTGTTGGAAATGTGGTTCGAATTTATGCCACTTCATTTTGAAAAAATTTCTCAACATGTCTCGTGTTTCTGTTCCGTCTAACCGGAATGACAGAATCACAGAGGTGAGATCCTCGATAGCATGTTCTACATTATTTTCTACTTTCCTAATGCTATCTACAACCTCCTTCAGTTCCCCTGGAGTCCATGGCCGATGCACATATATCAATTGATCACCATCCTGTCTGGGATTGGGCAGGGGAATCATTGGGAACGCACTGCTATCCACATGATAGTAGGGACTGGCTACAAAGGGATTGTACGGACTAAAAACGTACGATCCCGTGGTTTGGTCACTGGGGGTTTTTGGGGCTGAGGCAGCTTTTTGCTCCTCCAAGAGTTTTGTTTGTGCACGTGTTCTGCCTCCTAGGGCATTACTCATGGTCAAACTCGGTCATTACTCGGCAAAATTTCTAGTTAAATCTTTAGTGGGGGGTAGGGTAGGATATAATCTTTCTTCAGTGAGGTCTGGGGACATATCACTACTAGAGGATATTTCACTGAATGACTGGGACTGTCTTGGTCCGGACTGGTAATATGGGGGGGGTGCCTCTGTCTTTAATGTCTTTGGTGTGGATGTGGTGGGTCTCCTCGGGGTGTTTACTGGACTCAACTCACCCTCCTCATCACTTTGATCTGCTACTAGTTCTGGCCGCCTTGCCCTCCCCTGACTGTGGCTGCCGTCACTATCCATCTGTCTGATTTGTTTGGTGGTGTAAATTTCTGTTTTCCCCTTCTTCTGATCCTTCAAATACTGGTTATAACGATTATGCAGGGATTTAGCAGAATACATCCTATTTCTGGCTGCAAGGGTTTGTTTTCCTGCATAATCTTTCCCTTTTTGTTTCAGTGCATCTTTTAGGGTCAGATTCTGTAACAATTTTCCAATTTGGTCAATTTCAAATGTGGGTTGCCACCATTCATATCGTTTTTGCCATTTCTTTATGAACTGCACTGAATGGGGGAAACATTCCCTCATCCACTGCTCTGCGTCCAGAGCACGTGGATCACAAGGAATCTCCTTCCTAGATTTCTGACTCTTCTCTTTCGACTTTGTTTTTACTACTGCTAACGTAACTCTCTTCCTCCCGGTCTCCTCCTCGTTCCCGCTCGAGTCCGAGTCGCAGACCGGAGGCTTCTCTTTCTTTCCATTACTGTTCTTTCTCATGGTTGTTTTCCCTGTCTTGGGTCCCAACCACGGACCGACTCTGTCTTGAGTCACTGTTCCCCTGCCTTGGGTCTCAGTTACGGTCCGTTGCACTCTGTCTTGAGTGACTTCTACCCTGTCTTGGGTCTCAAACACGGTCCGACTCTGTCTTGAGTATAAAGGATCGCTCATGTGATTTTTCACAACGTGTGAATATTCACCATTCAAACAAAGCACACTCGCACCATAAACCTGGTCTACAGCTAAGTTTGATCTTTCACTCTAACATAAGAGAAGTTTCTGACCTTTCGGCTGATGGTTGGTCTTACGCTGGGACCGTCCAGTCCTCAGCGCAGAGAACGATGAGGAGAAATTACCACGTAGAAAAGTGGGTTTTCCGGTGTTATCCGGGCCTGGCCAGGCTCTTGTCCAATCTCCCGTCGTCGCCCTCCACGTCGAGTCCTGAATCCGGCTTCGAAGGACCAATTTCTGTCAAGGAATTACACCAGGCTCTGCGCGTGATGACTGACAGATCATCGACCAAAAAACCAAAAACAACCTGAAAGTTCAGAAACTGGCTTCACCTCTAGAGGTTAACTACTGCACCTACAAAATAACTCAGAGAGCACACTGTAGTTACGAGTTTTAACGTGATCACGGGGGAGTACACTTCAAGCTATCAGACTGCAAGCAGAGTGATCTCCCGAAGTGCCCCTTTCCGGACACAACTTTTATTCAGCACAAGAAAAGCAGGCGTGGTTACATTTACACATTGCCATATATAGTTATGATAGCTAGGTTTATTGGTGCAGTTGGTGCGTCTTAGTGACGCCCCCCCAACTCAGTATGCAAGCAATCTTAGAAAAGCAGCTTTGACATTTTCCGTTGGTGTTTATCAGACAGGAAACTGTTGCAGACTGCTGCAACTGACATCCTGTTCCCTCTGCACACACACTTTCACATCCTGTTTCTCTGCAAAATACCTACACATCCTGTTTCTCTGCAAAACACTTTCATGACATTTGGTTCAACTTCATAATGGCAGTTCTGCTTTATAAATGCAAGCATCAATAAACAAACAAATAATAAAACCTGTACATAAACCCTTGACATTCTTTCACACTCTCACTGGTCTCTCACTGGTCTCTCTCTGGTCTCTCACTGGTCTCTCTCTGGTGTCTCTCTCTGGTGTCTCTCTGGTGTCTCTCTCTGGTCTCTCACTGGTCTCTCTCTGGTGTCTCTCTGGTCTCTCTCTCTGGTCTCTCACTGGTCTCTCTCTGGTGTCTCTCTCTGGTGTCTCTCTGGTGTCTCTCTCTGGTCTCTCACTGGTCTCTCTCTGGTGTCTCTCTGGTGTCTCTCTCTGGTCTCTCACTGGTCTCTCTCTGGTGTCTCTCTGGTGTCTCTCTCTGGTCTCTCACTGGTCTCTCTCTGGTCTCTCTCTGGTCTCTCACTGGTCTCTCTCTGGTCTCTCTCTGGTGTCTCTCTGGTCTCTCTCTGGTCTCTCTCTGGTCTCTCTCTGGTCTCTCTCTGGTCTCTCTCTGGTCTCTCTCTGATCTCTCTCTGGTCTCTCTCTGGTCTCTCTCTGGTCTCTCTGGTTTCTCTCTGGTCTCTCTCTACAAAAATAAAGTCAGTTAGTGCAGTTGAGTCGCCCTGTGTATGAATCGTGTCATACAAATAAACTTGCCTTGCCTTCTTTGTGTTTTCATGAAGGGAATGGCACAGGTGGCTTAATGACCTCTGTCTCTCTAACTACTGTAGACTGTGACGGCCGAGACCCTGTGCATCCCAGTGGTTAGAGATAAGAGGGGAAGGGGAAAGCGGGGGAGGAAGCTCAAGGAAACCAGCCTGTCCTCTGGTGTCTCTCTGGTGTCTCTCGCTGGTCTCTCTCTGGTCTCTCTTTCTGGTCTCTCTCTGATCTCTCTCTGGTCTCTCTCTGGTCTCTCTCTGGTCTCTCTCTGGTCTCTCTCTGGTCTCTCTCTCTGGTCTCTCTCTGGTCTCTCTCTCTGGTATCTCTCTCTGGTGTCTCTCTCTGGTCTCTCTCTGGTCTCTCTCTGGTCTCTCTTTCTGGTCTCTCTCTGATCTCTCTCTGGTCTCTCTCTGGTCTCTCTCTGGTCTCTCTGATGGCCGAGACCCTGTGCATCCCAGTGGTTAGAGATAAGAGGGGAAGGGGAAAGCGGGGGAGGAAGCTCAAGACCCTGTGCATCCCAGTGGTTAGAGATAACTTTCTTAATGAATACAAATGTACAACTTAAAGAATTCTTCACCAGCAACTGTCCTCTGGTGTCTCTCTGGTCTCTCTCTGGTCTCTCTCTCTGGTCCCTCTCTGGTCTCTCTCTGGTCTCTCTCTGGTCTCTCTCTGGTCTCTCTCTGATCTCTCTCTGGTCTCTCTTTCTGGTCTCTCTCTGATCTCTCTCTGGTCTCTCTCTGGTCTCTCTCTGGTCTCTCTCTGATCTCTCTCTGGTCTCTCTCTGGGGTCTCTCTCTGGTCCCTCTCTGGTCTCTCTCTGGTCTCTCTCTGATCTCTCTCTGGTCTCTCTCTGGTCTCTCTTTCTGGTCCCTCTCTGGTCCCTCTCTGGTCTCTCTCTGGTCTCTCTCTGGTCCCTCTCTGGTCTCTCTCTCTGGTCTCTCTCTCTGGTCTCTCTCTGGTCTCTCTCTGGTCCCTCTCTGGTCCCTCTCTGGTCTCTCTCTGGTCTCTCTCTGGTCCCTCTCTGATCTCTCTCTGGTCTCTCTCTCTCTGTCTCTCTCTGGTCTCTCTCTGGTCTCTCTCTGGTCTCTCTCTGGTCTCTCTTTCTGGTCTCTCTCTGATCTCTCTCTGGTCTCTCTCTGGTCCCTCTCTGATCTCTCTCTGGTCTCTCTCTCTGGTCTCTCTCTGGTCTCTCTTTCTGGTCTCTCTCTGATCTCTCTCTGGTCTCTCTCTGGTCTCTCTCTCTGGTCTCTCTCTGGTCTCTCTCTGATCTCTCTCTGGTCTCTCTCTGGTCTCTCTCTCTGGTCTCTCTCTGGTCTCTCTCTGGTCTCTCTCTGGTCTCTCTCTGGTCTCTCTTTCTGGTCTCTCTCTGATCTCTCTCTGGTCTCTCTCTGATCTCTCTCTGGTCCCTCTCTGGTCTCTCTCTGGTCTCTCTCTGGTCTCTCTCTCTGTCTCTCTCTGGTCTCTCTCTGGTCCCTCTCTGGTCTCTCTCTGGTCTCTCTCTGGTCTCTCTCTGGTCTCTCTCTGGTCTCTCTCTGGTCTCTCTCTGGTCTCTCTCTGGTCTCTCTCTGGTCTCTCTCTGGTCTCTCTTTCTGGTCTCTCTCTGATCTCTCTCTGGTCTCTCTCTGGTCTCTCTCTGGTCTCTCTCTGATCTCTCTCTGGTCTCTCTCTGGGGTCTCTCTCTGGTCCCTCTCTGGTCTCTCTCTGGTCTCTCTCTGATCTCTCTCTGGTCTCTCTCTGGTCTCTCTTTCTGGTCCCTCTCTGGTCCCTCTCTGGTCTCTCTCTGGTCTCTCTCTGGTCCTCTCTGGTCTCTCTCTCTGGTCTCTCTCTGGTCTCTCTCTGGTCTCTCTCTCTGGTCTCTCTCTGGTCTCTCTCTGGTCCCTCTCTGGTCCCTCTCTGGTCTCTCTCTGGTCTCTCTCTGGTCCCTCTCTGATCTCTCTCTGGTCTCTCTCTCTGGTCTCTCTCTGGTCTCTCTCTGGTCTCTCTCTGGTCTCTCTTTCTGGTCTCTCTCTGATCTCTCTCTGGTCTCTCTCTGGTCCCTCTCTGATCTCTCTCTGGTCTCTCTCTCTGGTCTCTCTCTGGTCTCTCTTTCTGGTCTCTCTCTGATCTCTCTCTGGTCTCTCTCTCTGGTCTCTCTCTCTGGTCTCTCTCTGGTCTCTCTCTGGTCTCTCTCTGGTCTCTCTCTGGTCTCTCTCTGGTCTCTCTCTGGTCTCTCTCTGATCTATCTCTGGTCTCTCTCTCTGGTCTCTCTCTGGTCTCTCTCTGGTCTCTCTCTGATCTATCTCTGGTCTCTCTCTCTGGTCTCTCTCTGGTCTCTCTCTGGTCTCTCTCTGGTCTCTCTCTGGTCTCTCTCTGGTCTCTCTCTCTGGTCTCTCTCTGGTCTCTCTCTGGTCTCTCTCTGATCTATCTCTGGTCTCTCTCTCTGGTCTCTCTCTGGTCTCTCTCTGGTCTCTCTCTGGTCCCTCTCTGGTCTCTCTCTGGTCTCTCTCTGGTCTCTCTCTGGTCTCTCTCTCTGGTCTCTCTCTGGTCTCTCTCTGGTCTCTCTCTGGTCTCTCTCTGGTCTCTCTCTGGTCTCTCTCTGGTCTCTCTCTGATCTCTCTCTGGTCCCAGTGGTTAGAGATAAGAGGGGAAGGGGAAAGCGGGGGAGGAAGCTCAAGGAAACCAGCCTCTAAACCTCCGGGACAAAAACATGACATTTCTTACACAATGAGTGGATCTCGTGTTAAAAAGCACAGGTTTTATTGCATATCAATTTCATGTATAAATTCTTCATAGCATTGGAAAGATTACATTTGGTATACATCACTATTCTACAGAATTAACATCAGAGTCATATCTTTTCAAGGACATTTCTCTAAAGTACAATTTCAATCATCACAAGCATCAAAAGAATTTCAGAATTGTTCCATATTATTATTATTATTATTATTATTCTACAATATTTTTTTTTCCGCTGTTTTGAATCATCTCCGCTTCTCCCGGCGAGATCTCTGCCCCGTAAAAACCCGCGAAGGCAGTCCGAAAACGTGAAGACCTACGAACCTATAACCACATGTACGATAAGTGCATCTACCAATTTTTTATTTTTCTCACATTTTTTTTTTTTTTGCCGTTTTTTGTCGATTGGATACACAGTTCACAAATGGACATCGTTATGACCGCTAAGCACGCCATGCACAAGATATCGCGTTTTTTTTTTTTCAACATAACAGAGCGAATATACAACCGAACAAGCACCAGCCATTTTTTTCTCTCTTCAGACAATTCACCATATTTTTTTTTTCATTCTTTAAAATACTTTACAAATGAAACGTGTACATTGGGGGGAAAAACGTAACAGTTTTGGGAAAGACAGCGTCCGGCTCTTCGTGTGGCGGCTTCTGCACAGCGCATACGTTTTACAGTAGTCATGGAGGAGCTACCGCGTTTCTGGACTATAAGGCGCTAGTTTTTTCTGCTGCTTTGGACCCTGCGGCTAATATAGCAGTGCGGCTAATATAGCAATGCGGCTAATATAGCAATGCGGCTAATGTGTGTGTTTTTAGCCTGGAGTTGTCAAAGCAGAGTTTATGGACTTAATATGTGGGCTCCAACAAGTTTTAATCAGGACACTGGTTTATTGTCAAAATAGAATGAGTCATGGAAGCTAACGGTGAATGAGCCATGGAAGCTAACGGTGAATGAGCCATGGAAGCTAACGGTGAATGAGCCATGGAAGCTAACGGTGAATGAGCCATGGAAGCTAACGGTTAACGAGCCATGGAAGCTAACGGTGAATGAGCCATGGAAGCTAACGGTGAATGAGCCATGGAAGCTAACGGTGATTAAACCATAGAAGCTAACAGTAAATGCACCATGGAAGCTAACGGTGAATGAACCATGGAAGCTAACGGTGAATGAGCCATGGAAGCTAACGGTGAATGAGCCATGGAAGCTAACGGTGAATGAACCATAGAAGCTAACGGTGATTAAACCATAGAAGCTAACAGTAAATGCACCATGGAAGCTAAGGGTGAATGAGAGATTGAAGTGAAGGGTGAAGCTGTTAAAAACCTCGACATGAAAACCTGCGGCTTCAATTCAAGTGCTGCCTGTGTGTGAACAAAATAGATGTTCTTTTCAAATGTTGGAGGTGCGGCTTATATACAGGTGCTCCTTATAGTCCAGAAAGTGCGGTACATAAGAACCATCGTCAGCCTGCTCACACCGAAGACCCGTTTGAGAAATGGACAGAGATCAGTGCGTTACTTATGAAGCTTATGCAGATGGTGGTGGTTAGACTTGGGGCAAACTATCAATCAAGGGATCAGGTCTTTATGGTCACGGCGACTGGTTAAGACCGGACTTGAGGAAATGGGTGGAGCCACGTGTGCCTCGGGCTTGATTGGAATGAAAACCTGCAGCCACACCGGCCCTTTCTGGAACCAGTTTGACGCCCCTGGACCCGGGACTATCCGTGGCTCTGTCTGATTTCATTCGGTCTGAAAAAAGTGAAATTTAGCCTCTTATTTTTGACAGTATTTAACATTTATTGAACTCCCGGTGCAGTCCATTTGACGGCTTTCAGAGTCAGGGCTGTAAATACTTAGCTTATGTACCTTGTCGATCTTCATACCTTTGGGACTTCTTCTGTATCTCTGTGTTGTTTGTTTCTGTCATTACTTCGGCTCCCATTTTAAATGCTGGTCACCATAGCAACGCCCCTGTTTACTTGATAACCGTTAGCATACATAGCCGTTCAACAAACTGCTTTCTACTGTATTTCAAGTTTAATTCAACCGGTTTTTGCACTTGTTAAAAGTGAGTAAAGGTAACAGCCTGAACTTATGATTAAAACAGAATTGTAATAGTCTCACGGTCTCCTCACAGTCTCCTCACGGTCTCCTCACGGTCTCCTCACGGTCTCCTCACGGTCTCCTCATGAGCCTGTGGCATAATCCTGCTTTCTGTTAT